AGAGAGAGAGAGAGAGAGAGAGAGAGAGAAGGGGAGAGAGGGAGAGAGAGAGAGGGAGAGAGCGTGCCCTCCTTCCGGCTCCTGGTCAGAACACAGTCCCTGGCCTCCCCATTCCGGGTGTCCCCAGTCCCAGCCCCATTTCCTGCAATGCTGACCTCCTCTCCCTTCCCAGTGCTCTGTGCCTGAGGGGCCGGAGAGGACTTGTTTTGAACCTCGCCTGTGTCAGGCCGCTCCTGAGAGGAGCCTCCGGTGGCCCTGGGAATGGGACTTGTAACCCTGCCTGTCGGGTGGGCGGGAGGAGGGGCGAGGGCCAGCAACTGCTCCACCAAGGCTGTCGCCCTGGCCTCCAGGCTGCCGGAGGTGTCTGGACCAGAGCTTCGGGGTCCAGTGCACGGGCATCTCTGCCTGGAGTCCAGGGTTGGAGCGGAGGCAGATGCCTGCATAAAGCAGAAAGAGGGATCAAAAACTTCACACCGAAAATGAGAAATGTAACCTTTCTGTTCCCCCAAAGACTTCATGTGTGCGTCCGAGGGTTCAAACAACACCAGTAACAACAATAATAAAATAGCCAAGTGCTTGAGATAGAATCAAACCGTTTACTGGAGCTTTGCTTCCGAGTAAGCTTATAAAACATGAATGCAAATATCTTTTCCTGGTGAATATCCAGCGCTGAACCAGTGGAAAGTTGATCTTTATAAAACTGCACCCCTCCACCCCCCACCCCACCCCCCGTGCCAGACAGTAATTTCACAACGGCAATTTTTATACCCAAAGCTCGGAGTTGGGGTGAACTGCAACGCGAACACTGCCGTTGCAACGAGTGAAGCAGTTCAGCCCTGGCTGGCTGGGCTGCTGGAGTGGCCCGGGTGCAGGGGACACAGAGGGTCGGGTGGGGGTGACTGGGTAGCGGGGGTGGCAGCCAGCACACTGCCTGGGGCCAGACCCGCACGCCTGCCGTTCCTATACGAAGAAAACAAACGCGTTGTTAAAAGCTACGTTCATCTCCACACACTGCTGGCAGCATAAACACTGTTTAAAGTCGGAGTCCACCAAACGCCAAGGTGTTTGGGGAAATCACTTTCTAACTGTGCCTCAGGCTGAAGCCAAACCTTGCTTAAAGCCTTCACCAAAGGAGCCCGGGGGAGGACTGGGGTGCGGGGCCAGGGCTTGGACACGAACTCAGTTTTCCCGTCTAAGGGCTTCAACACACTCCCTCCACACCAAACATCAAGAGCGGACAGGGCCGGGCGTTTCTCCCAGCGCCTCGGCCTCCAGCAACCTGGGAAAGGGGTCTCCGGAGACCCGAGAGCACAGCAGGCCGGAGGCCACAGCCTCAGGATCGGGAACTTCCGGGCAGCCCCTCCCCAGAGCGAATTCTAGAAACAGCAGGGCTTCCTCCTCCCTGATGTCACCGTCCCCGTTGGATACAATGTGCGCATTCTAAGTTCAAGGGACCCGGAGCTGTGCCGCCACGGAAGTCAGCATCCTGACATCTAAGGGCCAAGCTGTCCTCCGAATTTTTGCGCAGAAAGAAGGGAGGAAGCCGGGCCTCAAGCAGGGAAGCCAAAGTTGCAGATTGCCAGACATCGGAAGAGGGAGGGAAAACCCCAGCCGGCCTCACAGTGCCCCACATGCGCCACTTCCTCGGTTTCCAGAAAAGGATCCGAGTCCACCTCCAGGAGGGTCTTTTCTAGGAGTCTGACCAGCAGCACGGAGGGGCGCAGGCAGGCCTTCCCGTCCCGTCCCGTCCTGTCCTGTCCTCCCCTCTCCCACCCGCCCTAGTCACCCAGAGACGCAGACACCGGTGTGGGGTGGGAACCGGGACGCTCCGTGGCCGTCCTGCCCGAGCCCGAGAAGCCCGCAGGTGCGGTCTGGGCGTCCCCCAGCGCGCCCGCTGTCGCTGGAGGTGAGACGGGCCGGGGCTGCCTTCAGCTCTCCGGCGTACTTAGTGGTTTGTCATCGCACCTGCTAATGTCGCCCAGCTGTGAGGCCCGCGAGCTGGGGACAGTGCGGCCGGGCCACGGCGGGGAGCGCAGAGCCCGGTGGGGGGACGGGGCGGCAGCGTTCCCGAGGGCGAGGTGGCCCGCAGCACCTCCTCCCCGCTGGGCCCGCTGTGCCTGCGCCCGCCCGCAAAGTCGCGCCCTTTGTAACCGAGCTCTGGGGGGGGCTCGGGGGGGCTGGGGGGGGCTGGGGGGGCCGGAGGCCTTCGTGACCTGCGGGGCGTGGCGAAGCGGGGCACGCGGGGCCGGCGGAGGGAGCCCGGAACCATGCGCGGGAGGGCGGGGACGGAAGGCGAGGTCCCCGGCAGGCCTGAGGGCTCGGGGGCGGCGGGAAGGTCCGCGTGGGAGCCGAGGGCGCGGGCAGGATGGGGACGCGGGACCCGGGAGGCGCGCGTGTGCCCAGCGTGGGGCTCGGCAGGGCGCGGGCCGGCCTGGCCTCCGGCTCATTCAGAGGCGGCTCTCGCCTCCCATTGGCTGCGGCCGCCGGGGCAGGGCGGGGCTCCGCGGCCCGGAAAAAAATGTAACTGCGTAAAAAAGTGCTGGCCGGGTGACGGATGCTCAAAAGTTCAGGAGTTTTCCCAACGCTGCCTTCGGCGGCCGGCGCGCGACTGCAGGACGGTGCGCGGGGCCCGGGGAGGCGGCGGCGCGGCCCCAGCCCGGCTCGGCCCTCCGCCGGCGGGAGGCGCGTAGGGCCCGGCGGCCAGGGCGCCTCGCTCGGCCGCCTCCACTCCGCCGGCGCCCGGCGCTGCTCCGCGAGCTCCGGGCGGCCGCGTCCCCGCCCGGCCTCTCCCCGTGGCGGCCCCCGCTCTCGGCCGGCCGGCGGGGCGGAGTGAGGCCGGAGGCGCAGGGAGGCGGCGGCGAGGCGCAGGGAGGCGGCGGCGAGGCCCGGACTCCGCCCGACTCCGCGGGCTCCGCGGGCGCGGGCTCGGCCCGGCCGGGCAGGGCCATGCAGGCGCGCTACTCCGTGTCCAGCCCCAACTCCCTGGGAGTGGTGTCCTACCTCGGCGGCGAGCAGAGCTACTACCGCGCGGCGGCGGCCGGGGGCGGCTACCCCGCCATGCCCGCGCCCATGAGCGTGTACTCGCACCCGGCGCACGCCGAGCAGTACCCGGCCGGCATGGCGCGCGCCTACGGGCCCTACGCGCCGCAGCCGCAGCCCAAGGACATGGTGAAGCCGCCCTACAGCTACATCGCGCTCATCACCATGGCCATCCAGAACGCGCCCGACAAGAAGATCACGCTGAACGGCATCTACCAGTTCATCATGGACCGCTTCCCCTTCTACCGGGACAACAAGCAGGGCTGGCAGAACTCCATCCGCCACAACCTCTCGCTGAACGAGTGCTTCGTCAAGGTGCCACGCGACGACAAGAAGCCGGGCAAGGGTAGCTACTGGACGCTGGACCCCGACTCCTACAACATGTTCGAGAACGGCAGCTTCCTTCGGCGGCGGCGGCGCTTCAAGAAGAAGGACGCGGTGAAGGACAAGGAGGAGAAGGACCGGTTGCACCTCAAGGAGCCGCCGCCGCCCGGCCGCCCGGCGGCGCCCGCGCCCCCCGAGCCGGCAGACGGCGCCGCGCCCGGCCCGCAGCCGCCGCCCGTGCGCATCCAGGACATCAAGACGGAGAACGGTACGTGCCCCTCGCCGCCCCGGCCCCTGTCCCCGGCCGCCGCAGCCGCCGCCGTGCCCAAGATCGAGAGCCCCGACAGCAGCAGCAGCAGCCTGTCGAGCGGGGCCAGCCCCCCGGGCAGCCTGCCGGCCGCGCGCCCGCTGAGCCTGGACGGGGCGGACCCTGCGCCCGCTCCCGCGCCGCATGCTGGGCCTGGCTTCAGCGTGGACAACATCATGACGTCGCTACGGGGGTCGCCGCAGGGTGCGGCCGCGGAGCTGGGCTCGGCCCTCCTGGCGCCGGCGACCGCGTCGTCGCGCGCGGGCCTCGCGCCCCCGCTGGCGCTGGGCGCCTACTCGCCGGGCCAGAGCGCGCTCTACAGCTCCCCCTGCAGCCAGAGCCCGGGCGCGGGCGGCGCGGGCGGCGCCGGCGGGGCGGCGGGCGGCGCGGGCGCGGGGACCTACCACTGCAACCTGCAGGCCATGAGCCTGTATGCGGCCGGCGAGCGCGGCGGCCACCTGCAGGGCGCGCCGGGCGCGGCGGGTGGCTCGGCCGTGGACGACGCGCTGCCCGACTACGCGCTGCCTCCGGCCACCAGCAGCGGCAGCAGCTCGTCGTCCCTGAGCCACGGCACGGGCGGCCAGGACGCCGGCCACCACGCCGCGGCCCACCAAGGCCGGCTGGCCTCGTGGTACCTGAACCAGGCGGGCGGAGACCTGGGTCATCTGGCGAGCGCGGCGGCGGCTGCCGCGGGCTACCCGGGCCAGCAGCAGAACTTCCACTCGGTGCGCGAGATGTTCGAGTCGCAGCGCCTCGGCCTGAACAACTCGCCGGTGAACGGGAACAGCAGCTGTCAGATGGCCTTCCCTGCCAGCCAGTCTCTGTACCGCCCGTCCGGGGCCTTCGTCTATGACTGCAGCAAGTTCTGACCCGCGCGGGTCCGGCACCCCGCGAGCGAGCCGAGCAGACGGAGAGGACCATCTGCAAAATCGAAACTAAAAACACCGACTTAGAAGCCTTGAGAAACGCTCACCGCACCAGCCAACGGGAGTCGCTCCCAAGTTCAACGCACCAGCAGCCGCGCCGAGAAAACTGTATCTTCTTAAAAGATTGATTCCGAGCCACCTCCACGTGCCTTATCGAAATAAAGCCGTGAACTGCTCAGTACGAGGCCGGGCCGAACAGGCACGGCTGGCTAAGGACTGTGTTACCGCAGATAGCACGTAAGTTTCTTCTTGCTTCTCAGAGACTGGCTTTCCCGCTCCCCTCCCGCCCTTCCCTGCCTTCTTCCTCGCCTGTAAGATAGTTTTTTGTCCTATGCTGAAAGGAGGGGGAGTCTCCGTATATGAAAATCACTCTCTTTTTATTCATGGACTTGTTTTAAAATGTAAATTGCAACATAGTAATTTATTTTTAATTTGTAGTTGGATGTCGTGGACCAAACGCCAGAACGTGTTTCCAAAACCTGACGTTAAATTACCCGAAACTTTAAGTTGTGCTTCTTTTCCTCATTATAAAAAGGGAAACTGTATTAATCTTATTCTATCGTCTTTTCTTTGTGTTGAACGTATTCACTGTTTGTTCATTAATAAATTGCCATTCAATTTGAACGAGACCTATATGTCTGGATACTTCAATAGAGCTTTAATACAAAGGAAAGATTTCAGAGATAAACACTAGGAGTAAACCGGTTCTCCACCCAGATCTCCTAAAACTGGAGAAACCCTCTGACGGTCCTTGTCAGATTTCCCTGTCTTTTTGTTTAGATACTTTTTCCTTCTGCATCTTCTGCAAAACGTGCTCTGTAGTTAATTTGCTGTCTAGTTAATGAAAAGATAATTTCCTAAACAGATCCGAGCTGACATCTAAACAAATACTTTTTCTCAGTAATAACAGAACGTGGCTTGAACAGTTTCAGCCAGTGAAATCAGCCAGTCTTCCCGCAGTGGGACCTTGCGTGGAGATGCGAATCTGTCCCCAGATACACTCAGCTGGCGACTTGGCTTGTGTGTCCCATGTAACACTGCAGTGCTCCATCCACGCGAGCAAGACGTGGAAGAGATTTTTAACCTGTTAATTCCAGTCCTTTATAGGAGGAAAAATGAACCAGTTTTTAAACGTATGTATATAATTCATCCACATTTACTATCCTTCGTGTATGTAGTACATAGAAGGATTGGCTTTTAAAAATATAAATAAACCATGGGTTAGAAAGGGATATTTAATCCTTGGGAAACTATTTTAGAAGCTATGTTTGTAGAATAATTATTTTTGAAAAAGATTTAAAGCAATAACAAGAAGGAAGGAGAGAAGGGCAGAATATTTCAGTCAGGGGTGGTTTCTTTACAACCCAATTTTTCTTCTTAATTTACAGTTAAACCCAGGGGGCAATCTGGACTGACCCTCCCCCCTTTTGTAAATAACCCAGGAAATGTAATAAATTCATTATCGTGGGGTGATCTGCCCTGTCAATCAGACTTTGGGGAGATGGCGATTTGATTACAGACATTCAGGGCCTTTCAGTTTGTTTTCAGATAATGCAGTTTCCTATCTGCCGCTCCTATCTAGAGGCAACACTTAAGCAGTAATTGCTGTTGCTTGTTGTCAAAATTTGATCATTGTTAAAGGATTGCTGCAAATAAATACTCTCTAATTTCAGTCAAAAACAGCTTTCCGTGGCCTCTGATTGCTCGGTCCCCTCCCCCAGGCCGTAACCTAATAGCGCAGGAGGCTCGAGGCCGGGCGGGCGGGCGTTGCGCGGGGCCGCCGGGCGGCCCGGCCGGGGATGCCGGCCCCCTCGGCGCCTCTTTCTGCGGTGGGGCGGGAGGGACGCCGCCGACGGCTCTCTCGCCCGGGCTGGTGCGTGGCTTGCTCCCCCGGGGCCGAGCGCGGGGCTGGGATTTGTGGACAAAGGGTCCGGTGGCGGGCAGGGTGTGTAGGCCCGAGGGGAGCGGCCTGGTCCCCGGAGCGGGGCGGCTGCAGGCTGAGCAGCTCTCTTGGCCGGTGCGGCATTTCGGGGTGCAGCGTGGCGGGAGGGCCCCGCTGGCTTTGGGGCCTCCCCTGCAGGGCGCCGGGGACGCTCGGCCAGCCGGGGCGGCAGGGCCCGGTCCTCCGCCCGCGCCGCTCCCTCCGGTCCCAGTGGCCTCCTCGGGAAAGATTGTGCGAGGGAAATCGAGTCAAAGGCGACCTCCGCTCGAGCGGGGCGAGTTAATCACAGGCTGCGTCGGGACGCGGGGGGCCGAGGCGGGGGCCCACTCCGTTTCCTTGGCGCCCGGCTTTGTTTGGAAGCCACACGTGGGTGCGGGCCGCGGGCGGAGAGGTCAGCGCACTTGGCACACGGCGGCAGCGCCACCCGGCCTCGGCCGGCGCGAGGACCTCACGCAGCCAGGCCGGGCCTGGCCGGGCCCGAGTCCCCGCGGCGGGAGAGGTCGGCTGACAGGGGCCGCCGGGCCCTTGACCGCCGTGCGGGTTCGCGCGCCGCAGCTTCTGCCCGGAGGCCCGAGGGCGCCGCGCCACCGCCAGCCCGGCCTAGGCCTGGCGGCCCTGGGAGCCCCTGCCCGCCGCGCTGCTCCCCAGGGGTAGGCTGGGATGCGTGGCGAGGACGGGGCGCTGGTTCAGAGTGCGGTCCCTGCCCGGGCCCTTGGAGCCCGGTCCCCAAGCCCAGGCGGAGCCCGAGGGTGTAAGGGCCACTCCGTGGCCCCTCGTAGCAGGCCCAGGACGTTTCCACGGGCTCCTGAGGTCAGCTTCCTAGCGCTCTACCCTGTTCCATTTTAAAGTTTGAAAAATTAGGCCTGGAAGACGAATGCGTCTAGGAAGGTGTGTGTGTTACACATCTCTAGTTACTTTTGAAAAGTTCAGAAGTTGTTTGAGTGGAAGGTGAGACGCTTATTATTCTGATGTTTAAAAAGCACATATGTGTAATATTTGCTATCAATACATTTACTCTTGGATTCTCAAATCCAATTTAAGAAAAGACAAGCCTTGGCAACCTTATTTAACCTGGAATTACTTATTTTCTAGTGGTTTGCAATTTGGTTTGTACTTTTTATATTATCAAGAAGGATCCTTTTTCTGCACATTATTCTAGGACAAACTCCTTGACATTTTAGCTGGTAAGGCTGTGTGAAATGAGCCAGTGGGTGGCTGGCGGCACTCCTGGTGGGGACTGGCAAGTTTTGTGAACTGCCTCCGCAGGATGTTTTAGGGTAATCAGTATTTACCCGTATGGAGCAATTTATACCAGGAGCAGGCCACACGCATGTTCTATGCCATGTAACATCTTGCAGTTGGTAGGTTGCAAGCGTGATAGGAACACATGCTGTTTTCCAGGGCTACATCCTTAGTCCTTAGCAGGCCTTTTTCACCAGGCTGAGGCAAACAAGCACGTACTTTACGACTTATCATTGCACTCAGCTGGTGTCACTAATAATCGATGTTTGGGGAGGAATAAGGCTCAATTGTCCTGGTTGCCTGTGAGCTCTTGGCTGTTTCCTGCTGGGTCAGAAACACGGGTCAGGAAACAAGAGCGCCTCCAGGCCCTCTGGGCTCCCCTAACTGTGCTCGGCTAGGAAAGGGCTTGGCACTTTCTGTCTCCCGCAGGCGCTGTTCACTTGGGGCAGAGGAAGCCTCCCTTTAAGAGGAGGACCATTCCTTTTATTGGTGGAAATCCCAAGGGGTTGGGTGGCCTGGCCACACAGCCCAGCAGGGTGAGCATCCCTGTCCCCGCTGGTCTAGGCCTCCGGCACTCACACCGGTGTTCGAGGTGCCCTCTGGGTCGGTCGGTGGTGCCTGCAGCATGGACAGCTGCTTCCCTGTGTCCTTCCAGCTCACCCCATGTCTTCCGTCTGGGGAGGGGCCGTTTGCTTTGGAGTCCCCTGGCCCCAGGTCCTGCCTCTTGTTTCAGGGCCTTCTCTTCTGACTGCTCTCTATTTGTGTCATGCCTGGGTCATGGAGCCATTTGCCTGTCCCACCCGCCCATAAACAAATGTCGAGTTAGGGGCAAGATTGATGGTGTCCAAGCAATAAAGCTGGCCAGGCAGGACGGAGCAGGACTTGGTGTGGGGAGTCAGTCCCAGCCGAGCAGAAAGCCTGAGTGTGACCAGAGAAGGAACCAGAGGCAGCTCCTGACCAGTGGAGGCCAGGCAGGGAGAGAGGTCAAAAGCTCAGGGAGTCCCCAGCCAGGGAAGTCCGGTTTACGCTCACAATGGGCCTGGGCAACAAGAGAAACCCACGGGGATGTGCCACGGCCCGGGTGCCGGCTGCCCAAAGCTTCTCTGAAAGCTCCTGGTGAATTTATAGCAAAGGCAGGAGGTTCGGCCTAGAGGGCCCCAGTGGCTCACTCTCTCTCTCTCTGACCTCCATGGGCCGTTTCCTCTGCCGACCTCGCTGGCCCGGGCTGTGTCCCCTTTGTTGGCCCCGGTCCTGTGGAGTGTCTCACAGCTGTTAAGTTTGGCCTGTCTTTGTGTCTCTGCTCCTCTGCCCCTGTGTCACTGTCGTCCTCCCATCCCTCTTCCTTCTCACAGAAGGCCTTGGGCTCCAGAGTGTCTTCCAGATGTCCCCACTCCCAGCTGTGGCATCACTGGTGGCCCCAGGGCTTGCTGTGCTGGACCTTCTGAGGAGGAGATGGTGCGCCTGTCTGAGTCCCGCCCAGGCCTGGGAGGATAGACCCAGGGTCACGGGTGAGCAGGGCTGACGGGTTCCAGGTTGGGGAAGGAACGATGCTCAATTAAATGAATTCCAGCTCCAAAACCCACTCAGAGAAAGATGGCTGCTTCTCCACCAACATCCTCAACATGATTAGGAGTGGAAAATTGGGCAAAACGTACCATGTCCGTCTTACTGGAAACCGAAATAAGACAGCATGGGCTCCACTCAAGGCCTCTGTTGCCTGCCTGCCTTCCATCTTACTTTGGACCAAAAGAAACTCTGTTTTATGTTACATTTTTTTGTTGTTGTTTACTTGATTTTTTCCCCTCACTGATTTTGAATTTGTAGCATACTGAGCGTATTACAGGAGATGCAGAGGCTCTGGAATTTCCTTGCATCTAGGGCGGGCAGTCTCGAAGGGCGCTCAGAACTGCGGGCCTGGTGGCACTGCCCCAGGCCCTATGCCCAGGATGGTGCCTCCTCCTGCGCTGGAGCAGCTTCCTGCTCCTATGCCTCCTGCCCTCTGCCCTGCTGCTCCAGCAGGTCGCTCCCAGGAAGGGGCTGGGTGGGCTGCTCCTTTGCCCTAAGTCACCATGGTGACTTGGGTGGGCACAAGATCTGTGAGCACAGCGAGAGTGCACGGAGGCAGAGGCGAGGCAGAGGGAGGCCAGGGGTCCCCAAAGGGGCTCCCTCCTCGATTCTCCCACAGGGTGGGGAGGTCGGTATGGGTCGGGCTGGGGATTGAGGGCTGAGGGGTTTGCTGGAGGGCTTTGGGGAGGACTTCGACGGAGAAAAAGACATACGTGTGCGTACGCCCCCTCCCACTACCTACTCCAGGGAAAAAGCAGGAAAACCAACACATTTAGCGCCATTAACTCCTAAAGGCCTCCGCATTTCCTTCGGTAGGAAAGCAGGTCACTGGGCCCTGAATGTGGGGCCTCCTTAATGGCTCCAGGGGAGCCAGCAGCCAGCAGCAAGCGCAGGACTGCGGAGGAGCGCATGCGGCAGTGGAGGGCGGACCGCCCGGCCCGCAATCCGCTGTGGCGAAGACAGGGAAGTCCGTCCAGGAGCGGCGCCGGCACCCGCTGGGTCTGAAGCCCCGCTTCCCTCCAGTCCGAGGGCCCGGGTTGCCAGGACCCCCCTGCCCGCGGTGAGTGTCCGGTGACAGAGAGGCGGCAGAGCTCCCGCGCTGTCCGGGCCGGCCGGGACCAGCCAGTCCCAGAGCACTGCCGCAGGCCGGGCCGGGAAAGTGGCACGACAGGAAAGCGTCGCAGAGGCCCTGCCCAGGCGGCTTCCTCGCCATAAAAAGCCAGACTCCAGCGAGGTCCTGACCCCGTCCAAATATACATTTCGGCCCGCCGCTCCAGCCTGGGCCTCGGCCGCGCTGCTTCCACCCAGGCCAGCCGGGGCGCAGGCTCCCCAAACAACGGGGCGTTGGGAGCCCCAGTTTCATCAGCCTCCCCAAAGCCCTGTCTGCTCCCTGCCTGATAAACGCCGGGGCTTGGGATGGGGCGCTGGGCTCCGGGTCCCCACGGCCCGCGCTGAGCCCTTGCTGCGGCGGCGCATGCGCACGCGTGTGGCGCCCCAGTCCGCTGAGTCCGCGGTCGGCCGCGTGTAGACCCCTCCTTCGAGGCCCAGGCTGGGAAACCAGGAGAAGCCCGCCTCACAGAGGTCACATGGCAGTGAGCAGGGGCCGGCCAGACTAGGCCTCCGCAGGCCGTCGGGCTCCTGGGCATCGTAGCAGAGTAGTCCTTTTCGGGCTTACCCAGTGCACAGCTTGCTTGGTTCCGGAATTCAGAGATCAAAAGGGCGGGTGGGACCAGACCAGGGTCCCCACAGTGCGACCGCCAACCCTGGAGGAACCCGGCCCAGGGCGCAGCCGAGCATGGAGCATGGGGTGGGCACCGCTATCCCACTCCTGACCGGGACTTGACAAGGTTTTTGCGTGGGCTGGGGTTCCGGGCACCTCCCAGGCCCAGGGCAGCACTGGAGGTTGGGGTGCCTCTGACCAGTCCCCCCACACACACACACCTTGTGTGCTTCAGGCGCCTGCTGGGTCCAGGGCTGAGGGAGGTGGAGGCCAGAGGGAGGACCAGGCCTGGCTGCTGGGTGCCCCTCGCTGGCTGCCACTCCCAGAAGAGGACAGACCGGTGTCTTCTCAAAGGGCCCTGAGAAGTGAGGCTCTGGGGCCTCCGGGGCTGCCTGGTGTCCCAGTAGTTGCTGCTGTTGCAAGTTCTGCGCCCTCAAAGATGAAAACCCTTTTTTGGAAATGCGAGTGGCATATTGGGATGCTGATCTCTTCGTAAAACACGCGCGCGCGCACGCACGCACAGTCTAAATCCTGGGTGGGACCCCACACACCAGTGCCACCCGCCGATCAGGGTCTGAAAAACACAGGATGTGTGAGCTTGGACTCCTCGGGTTACAATTTAAAAATCTCCCCCCACACAAATAAGGAGCCTGGGGTGCTTTGAGGGGTGTGTGTGTGAGGTGTGTGTTTGTCTAACTGTGGGGATGGGTCTTAGAAATATGTTAATGATGCACTCAAGGTTATGATTGTTTATTTAGGGTTTTGGGATGAATCCGGAAGCTCATTTTAAAATAAAAATTTAAAGTGCTGCCTATTGCTGCAGGTTCTCACAACAAGGGAAGGTCACATTCCCCGGCGGCCCACTGGGGTTTGGTGGTTGGTATTGGTGATGGTGAGTACAGGGGACAAAAATGGACTCAGAATGGGACCTGACCCTCACCTGGCACAAATTCCAGCCCTGCGCCGGCGTCCGAGAGCCATCTTTCGGGGAATTCATCCCTCCTAGCACGAGGCACTTCCCTGACAGCGCAGGCAGGAGTGCATGCCCCTCAGCAGCTGCTGAGGTGTGACAGGTTTATTACCCTGGCCCTAACTCCTCACAAAGGGGCGCAGAGGCAGCCCTCCACTGGGGCTGCCAGCGGGTCAGATGGAAAGTGAGCCCAAGAATTTGAGCACTTTGTCCTTCCTCTGGTAATATTTGAGTGTATGCAGGTTTAACTTTCGAAGTTTTTACCAAAAAACCAAGAACAAAAACAAAATAAACAACCAAGGTGGGAGATGTTTTATAACACCAAAACACAACAGCCAGAGTTTTCAGAGCAGGAAAAAGAGCAAAGCTTGCAGGAGCAAATCCCCATTGCTGAAATTTAAATTGAGATCAAGATAGAAGAGAGCCTTTACTAAGAATTGTCGCCAAGGATAGCCACACAAAGTTCTCTTACTGCGCGGAAAGGAAGCCCTGAAGACAAGCTGTTCTTTTTCTCCTTTTAAAGACACGCACACACACTAGTGAGCAGTCAGAAGGCCAAACGATACCCCTTCCCCAACACACACTGTGGTGAGGGGCAAACAGTGAGGTTGCAATTAAAATACCCTTTGCTTTAAAATGCAATGTTCTGGTCCATTTGGAGCAGTGTGACTTCACAATATGGTCGGCCAGAGGTGCATGAAACCCCCGCCTAGAGTTTCTCCTGCCCCTCCCTGAGGAGCTTGTACAGCTTTGGGCTAAAGGGCCTCAAACCACTCAGTGGAGGGGGCTGCAAGCCGGAAGGGCCAGGTGGCTTCCTGTGAGTGTGGGCCAGCCCAGGTGGCCAGAGGAGGGTGCCCGCCCCGGGTCCAGGCTGAGGAGGCAGTGACTGCTTGTGAGACCTGTGCTGTGTGTGAGTGCCTTGTTTGCTTCCGTAGGTTTCTGATTGTTTGAAGCGTCTGTCAGGTGACATTGTGTGAGATGGCATGCTTGTGGGTGTATTTGTATTTGTGAGTGAGGGATGTGTTTGGGCCTGTGCGTGACGACGTATGCTGTGTGAGCCTGTGTTTGTGAGTGTGCGTGCCCACCGGCCTTGGTCCTGGAGGCCCAGCTCCCAGGGATGTCTGCTTCCAATTAGCAGCACCCCGCTGGGGAGCAGGAGGGAAGGCGTCGTCGGGGGCCGCTTGAGGACCGGGTGCCCCAGCTCCGGCTGCCCAGTGCTGCTCCGTGGCAGCCCCAGCAAGCCGCTTGCACAGGGCCTGGCATTACCACACAAAGGGCCCTGGTCGCCTCCCCCCCATTAAAGCCGCCGTGAAGTGAAGACTCCGGAGCTGCCCGCACTCACACACGCATGTGCTCGGGCTGCAATTCCATTTGCCACGAAGTTTTACTTTATTTTCCTTGGAAGGGGAGTGAGAGGGGCAGAGGAGTCCTCGCCTCACTGGTTCTGGGGCGGAACACTGCATCTGTGCAGGGTGTGCACCTGTGCACAAGGCCTTGCTCGCTGCCTGGTGCATCCATGCGTGTGTGAAAACCGACTGTGGGCAGCTCGTCGGCACCTGGTCACCCTCAGGCCACCAGAGGCTGGGCCTGAGGTCTCTCGGTGTGGCCCGGCCTCTGCTATGAAGTGAACACATCCGAATGAGCGGAAAGTGATGTCGTGCTGGGAGACGCTGGGAAGAGCGCTGTGAGGAAGGCTTGGGACGGCAGGGAAGGGCCTGGCCACCACCGGCAGGCAGGCAGCGACTCAGCGACTCACGGCTCTCCAGGGTCTGTGGTCAGCAGGGCAGAGGGGGTGTGGGTGCTGCCCTGCCCCAGAATCTGCAGGGCCCCGGCTGGCTTCCTGCTTCCCGAGCAGCTCACTGTCACCAGCAGTGGAGGGAACGCCCGGGGCAGCGGCGGGACACTCAGCCTTCAGGGCTCTTCCAGCAGGCCTTTCTCAGAAAGGCGCAATCTCTCTCCCACACTGCCTTTGGTCTTTCTGTTTGGCCCATTACAGCTGCTTTTATAACTTGGAGAAAACAGCGGCATTGACTCTTAATGCTAGTTCATAAAAGATCATTTTTAATAGGAAAAGAGAAAAACAATTTGAAGGCCCCAAGATTTGTCTAAGTGACATAATTTCAAGTAACGTGAATATGTGATTAAAACGTCTTGATTTCACAAAGCCATTGAGAGGCGGCTTCGCCCGACAAAAGCGAAGCAGCGAACCTGGAAACGTAGCGTCCCGGCTGCTGCAAACCTCGGCGTCCCGCTCCAGCGGAGGCACCTCCCGCGCGGGTCCGCGCTCAGGCCGTGGGGTTGGTCCTCATGAGCTCCACGTCGGCCTGAACCATCTCGCGCACCAGCTCCTGCGGCCCAGAAGGGGTGTCGATGGGCGGAGCTTCTGCCGCCTCCCAGGTGACAGCTGGCCCCGGGCGGCGCGCCCGCCCCCCCCCCCCCCCGCCCCCCGCCCCCGGCCCGAGCCCGCCGCAGGTCCCCAGGAAGGGAGGGAAGGACACTCACGTCAAAGGCCACTCGCGGCTTCCAGCTCAGCTTCTGCCTGGCTTTGGTGCAGTCTCCCTGCAGGAAGTCCTGGGAAGGGGAGAGGCGGGCGTGGGTCGGCGGCCAGAGCCGGAGACCCTCCGCGCCGGCGCCCGCTCCCTGCTCGCCCCTCGGGCCTCGGGCCCGGCCCGCCCACCCCGTGCGCCCCCGGCCCGCCCACCCCGTGCGCCCCCGGCCCGGCGACGCTTCAGGGCGCTTCTCCTCTCTCGTGAGCGCGTGTCCGGGCGCCGCTGAGGGCCGTTCCGAGCACTGCACTGCGCCGCTCCGCTCGGCTGGGCCAGGAGGCGAATCCGGCGCCTCCGCCCAGGGCCCCTGGGTCCCTGCGGCCGCGCACTGCGCACCCGCCCAGGGCCCCTGGGTCCCTGCGGCCGCGCACTGCGCACCCGCCCAGGGCCCCTGGGTCCCTGCGGCCGCGCACTGCGCACCCCACGGCGACGCTCGCCTTCCGCCGGCCACGCGGGCCGGGCCGGGCCGGGACTGGACGGCAGCGGGCTGTGGGGCGCCGGAGCTTTCCCGGCCACGGCGAAGGCGGCACGCGCGCGTGCACACACACACACACGCGCACACACACGCACAGGAGCGCGCGCTCATAAACCGAAACCGGAGGCTCGGAAGCAGCGCTCACCCTCCGTCCAGGCGCCGCGCGGTCGGTCCTGGCCTGCGCTTTACTGCCTGTCCTTAGGAGCACCTCGCCCCCACCTCGCTTCATTTCTCCCCCACTACCCGCTGCACCAGCAGTTCGCAAATACTCTCTCCGAGGCCCTGCAGCCCACGCTGCCTCCCTCCCTCCCGGAGCTCCGTGCGCCCAGGAGCGGAGCCAGGCGACTCTCAGGGGCCTCGGGCGCGCAGAGGCCGCCGTGCGGGCCAAGGCTCTCATCCCGCCGCCGCCGTCCCGGGGCCTTCTCCAGGAGCGGTGAGGACCTGCCTGCTCGGCTCCCCTTTGGGGCGTCTCCGAGAGTCCCGGGGACACCGGGAAGCGCGTGTCCATCCAGACCATCCCGCCTCAGCCTCCATCACGGACTGCTTCACCACAGTCTGCAGGCTCATTCGGGGGAAGATGTGAGGAGGACTTCGAGATGAGCTTCGAGCAGCAGGAAAGGAAGGAAGGGGGGGCGGGAAGCAAAAGGAAAAGCCCGCGCTCGCCTCACCACTCTGGAGGCCAGGGCCCTCGGCGGCGTTGGCACACTCGGTGCACAGCACGTGGGTGCCCAGCGCAGCCGCGGGAGGCTGCCTGTCCCCTTGGGTGGTCAGAGCCGCTCCTTCAGGAGCAAAGGACAACCTGAACGGCCACGTCACGTGACCTGCTGGTCTCCAGGAGGCCCTGACGCTCTCTGCGCGTTTGCTCCTGCCCTGGGCGTGCAGGTGGGGCTCTGTCCTAGACTCACCCTGCGAGGGCCGGGCTGGGCAGGCCCCGATGGCGCTGCCCAGTGGCCACCTCCGCAGCTCAGCCTCGCACCGGCGCGGTCCGTCCGCTCTGCGCCCAGCCCCAGCAGACTCAGGGAGCCTCTCCTCAGCCACCCAGCATGGCTTTTTAGCCTTGAATGAACCCTACTCCCACAGGCTTCAAATTTCACAATACATCCGAGTACCCATTTCCTCCCCAGAGTGTTACCTAGAGTAAAACAAGCCATTCTGCCAGCCCTGAGTCGTGCACAGATTCCCGGGAAGGTGGGAGTCAAAATTAGTAATTAGCACAGTGCAGGAGGAGCGCCAACGTAAGTGGGAAAACAAACCGAGTAATTTATTTCTCTTTCCTTTCCCTAAGTACACTCGTAGATGCTTCTACAATGCTCCTCTTTTACTAGAGGAGTCACACAAAGATACTCATTCTTTCTCCCCAGAGGAACCTGAGCAGGGTGGCGTTCTGAAGCAACCCAGCCGACCGCCCGCCTCAGCCCTAGAACAGCTCCCTGCTTGGAGCAGCATGGTTATTGTTCAGTCACGTAACCCGGGCTGCAGCTGAAGCGAGCACTGCAAAGGATCCCGCTCATGGCTGTGAACTTAGAGTTAGCAAAACCCTAAAACCCAGTTTGGCTTCAAATGATCTCAGTAGGCTTGGGAAAGGGAGCTTTGTATTGTAATTATGTTTCCTGTATTTTTCTACAAGTAGCTCATAATATAAAAACAACCAGGGAACTACAATTAAGGAAAGAGAAAAATGGTTTTCCAAAGCTTAGAAACAGACATTGCTCCCAAACGCTGTAAAAGTATTTCATTGAAACCAGAGATGGCCCAGTTAGACTTCCCGGTTTAGTTCTAAGCTGAGCTCTTAGCCTGCAGCCTAGCAGTTTCTTTAACCCTCTGCCAAGGCTTTGTCTCCCTGCAGTGTGATGAGACCCAGAGACCTTGGGAAGGGAGAGGATGAGGAACCCATCAGAACAGCACCGAGGCTCATGTGCCAGCCGCCACTGAGCTGGCATCGGGACCGGTCCACATGCTGGAGCCCCATCAAGTCTGTGTCTCCTTTTGGTTTCGTTTTGCAGCGCTGGGGACTAAACCCAGGACACCCCATATGCGAGGCAAGTGCTCCACCACCCAAACGTCCCCAGCCCCGATCATCTCCTGAGGAAGGGCTGTGGCTGTCCCAGCTTGTTTGTACCTAACCGTTCTTGAAGACATGCCTTGCTCTGCTGCACTGTCGCTTAGGAAAAGCCCACCACTCATCTGCAAGGTTGGGCACAGGCACACTTGCAGTGTGGCAGGAGGCCTGAGTGGGATCCTCCACTACACACAGCTTCCTCTGGCCTGCAGAGCAGTCAGGTTGTGCAAGAAGGGCAGGATTTGGGGGAGCGAGGCCCTGGGAGCAGGGTGAGTGAGGCCGTGACACGGCCTGCTTTTATATTCAGCTCTTTGTCCGTGTCCCTCTTCTCTGTGGGCAGCTTGGCTCCTGCTTTATTTGTAGGCTTACAGCCATAATAAGACAACAGGGTAGAAGCCGAGTGAAAGTGATGATTTTATGTACGGTTTCCAGAAAGGACTCTGTGCACTGGGTGGTCTGGAGTCTTTCTGGAAAAAAAGACACAAGAACCTCTGAGAAAAATTTAAAGCATTTCTATGTGAATATGACATTTCCTGAACTCTGGCTTCTGGTGTCTTCACTGTTTTCATTGCTATTCCTTAGGTGAACTATACAGTTTCAATATGTAATTTATTATTGTCAAATTCAATTAGGTTTAACTGAGCATTTTACAGCAGCAAAACAGCATGGGCCTTTCCCGTTTGTTTCCTCCCTCTCCCTCGAACTCTGCACTGCTGTCTGTTCGCCTGGCCTTTAGGAGTTGTCCTCTGGCTACAGCATCTGGGCCCAATCCTGAGGGGCTCAGCACCCTGCTCTGTGCCACAAACATCGCCCGGCAGAAGGGCATGTTTGGCTGTAGTGATTTTTCAGGCTTTCCTGGCTCATGTCCTTGTTATAGTGAACAGATAAAGCGCCAGACCAAATCCTGGAAAAATCATTAAGCCAGTTCCTGAGCCCACAGCAGTTAACGGAAAATCCAGAAAAGGAGCCCACACCATGCTATTATGTCTCCCCTAACTATAGGTCCCTGTCCTGCAATCTCTTAGATCCCTTTTCATCTCCCCCACATAACAACACACCTTGAAACTGCACTGTTGACTCCGCTTTCCTTCCCCAGACCTTATTTCGGTGGTTCTTTAACACCTTAAATCCCTTCAGCGGCCCCTTCCCTAAATTCATGGTAGCAAATGCTGTGCAGTAAGTACCCTGTATCATGCAGGATAACCTTCCAAGTTCATAATCTAATTTCTTTTCTTCCCCTTTCACTGAGTTTGCTTTGGGACAGTTTTAAAATTTAGTTTGAACTGTGTTGGATGCCATATTTCCGAAACAGGTTTGCTGTTAAGGTTTGCAAAGAACATGTGTTGAGGAGAGGAGACATTTTAAGAGTGTGAAATCTTTCGGCAGGATGTTGTTAAATTTCTAGTGCACATATTGAAAGAAGTCAGCGCAGGAGTGCTATAAACAAGGACAAGGTGCACAGACAGGGAATGTTACTAAGGAAAATCAAGACTGGTGGAAACCTGGTTGAACATCTTCAGGAATTTGAACCGTGGAGCTGAGGGTGGCACAAGATATATTCAGTTTTTCCTCCTATTTCTCTTAGAAAAGCAAAACTAAGGAAAAGTTCAAGTTCCAAGGGAACAGAAGAGGCCCTTGTCTAACTTTATGCTAATGGAGAGCAGGGAAGCTCTGCTCTCGGGGTGACACGTTTTCTGGGAAAGACGGGACTGCTGAAGACACACAAGGCAGCACAGCCTCGGGAAGAAGCCCAGTGGAATCGAGCTGGGCAGCATGGATCAAGACTGGGACCAGCAGGACCCCGAGGCCGAGAGCCCCAGGAGGAGGTGGCACAGTCTCTCCTGGCCCGGCAGCTCCAGCTCACGGTGCAGGCTCTGGTTTAATCCTTCCCAGGGAGGAGCGAGCCTCGGAGCAGGGAGCAGTAACAAGCTTCCCCTCTCTTCCCCATCACTGCTGTGTATCAGCACAAATTGAAGTTGAAGCCAGGCCTCTCCTTTAATGACAAGGGGCGATAAGAGACAAGACGAGAACAGCAGGCTGTCTGTCTGCTCAGGAAGCGGGCTCAGGGGGAATGTCCATCAGCAGGGCTGCCGGGGCCTCGGCCAGCCTCTGGGAAGTCAAGTCAGTCAGCAAGTGGAGATGAGCCGAGTGAGCAGGCCCTGCACGAGGGCCCTGGACTCCAGCTGCCCACCCCAGGGTCCTCTTGCCGTCCTCTGTCCCCTCCACGCTGGTGGCCTCAATGTGAGCCCCATTAGTCACGAGTCAGACAGGCTGGCCTGTGCTCCCGTGTGGTGCCTGAGGGGTCTTCAGGACCTGGGCTCCTGCCACAACCCCGTTTTTCTGGGAGTGTGTGTGTGCTGCTTAATAGGTCACATTTGTCATTTGGGTCCAGCAGCTATGAAGAGTCCTAAGCACAGGCTTGGCAGCAGCACATCCATCTATGCAGACACCCAGGCACCCAGGAAGCAGCAGCAAGGTGTGGAGCTTTCTT